GTTTAGATCATGCCGTGTAATATAAATTAAAATTTAAAATTCAAATCATACATATATGTGATATACATCCAAAATTGTTATTATAAAAAAATTACTATACATTCAGTGCATAAAAAGTTAATAAAAAACAACAGCCACATCAATTCTGACCAAAAAATTTTAGTACACAAATAAAATGTTATCTTCACAGCTAAAATAACCATCATATATGGCCGAGGAGGTCTTAATTAGTTTGAGGCATCTGAAATTAAAGGTCCTCAATTTAAATTCTTTTTTTTCCCCTTGGTTGCATTTTTAAATCTCACTTCTTTTGTGTGAAAAAAAATAGAATTAAAAAATATATGTGCTTTTTTCATAAACTTATTGAAATATCTTCGATTTTTAAATCCTATCTTTCACCTGCTAAAAAAAATTTTAAAAACCATATATGTTTTTTTTTCGTAAACTTATCAAACTGTCTTAAGCCTAGATTCAAGAAAAAAAAAACGCAAGTTTATTAAGTGTTCTTATTTTGGAATTTCAAATTGAGAAATAGAGCTTTTAAGCTTCAAAGAATTTAGCGGCAACTCGAGGTGACAATTTTTCTTCAATGAGCTTGATTGAGGGGTTGACCCATGAGGTTTAGAAAATTTGAGCATCGACCACAAAACTTTTGCCCATTGTTTTGAAAGTTGACGGTTTTTATTCCTTGAGTAAACTAAGGGGGTATTCACCAAATCTTATCTGGTAATCAATTGAAAAGTATATCTTCTCTAGAAGATCCTTGATTATACAGTATGAAACTTCCAATTAAATTTTTCATATGTTGATGGTGACAAATGACGTAAAAGCTTATAAAAATGTCTGAAAAGTAATATTTTTTTCCATGATATTCCCTAGTTTATTGTCAAATACTCTTGTATGTAAATAATTCTTCAGTTAACATAGAAACTGAATTTTCTAACCATAATATTCCCCCCCCCCCTTTACGTCAAAACGCTGCCGCTTGGATTGCAATTTTTTGGAGTTTCTGTAGGAAAATGTATTATAGCGATTTGATAGATGTGAAATTAAAAAATGATTCGAAAATATAATCACGAAAAACGTAAAATTTTCCTTTGAAAAATTGCAATCTGAACAAAATAAAAAGCATAAGAACATCAGAAAACTACCAACTTCTCTAAATTCTTTGTTAATTAGTGCTTTTTAAAATATTTGGCATCTTAAGTAAATGTACCATCTCATGAAACTCTGACGATCACTTCTGCAAATTTTCTTTGATGAATATGAACCTCACAAGATGGAACTTCACTAGTGTCATCGCCCAAGAGTACACTTAAGCCCCTAGTAGACTATATATATATATATGTCAACAAGTTCTTCCAATTTTCTTTGTGTAGATTAGTTATTCTTTGTCTGCATTAGTTACTTGATTGGTGGTTAAGTGAAGATTAAGGCGGCACATCATCATTCTATAATTCGTGAGAATTGGTCCTTCTACATTTATTGCTTATAGGTCCCTTAACAGCCTAACGTTCAATATTTTGGTTCTCATTCTTCTGTTAAATAGATCCATACAAATAAGAGAATTTTGCATAATAATAGTGCAAGGGATTAAGAGTATGATGAGCTTGAACAGAGCTCAAACAATTATTAAGAGTGGATTAGATTATCGACCCAAAATTTGAGCTCATAAACATTTGACTCAATAAGGCTCAAAAGAACTTTTTTTTTTTTATTTTCATTTGATATACTAATACTTTATCTATGTATTATATCCAGAAAAAATTCAAAATAAAATAAACGTGCACATATCGAGCTCCAACCTATTAAATTTAGGATCGAGTTGAGTTCGAAATTAAATTTTAAAATCTTACTAAATGGGAAAGCAAAACTTCGAATCAAGCTTCGCAACAGTTTGGATTTGTTTTCTACTTAGTAGAATATTCATTTTCGGCTGAAAATGAACGTATATTATTGATTCAGAGTGATAAATTGCTAAATTTTTTTTTCTTATCAAGCCGGGAAGACGTTAGTCTAATGACTTTAAAACGTGCAAAATATTTTTGCTTCATTGAGGTATATGTCTTGTCCCTTCTGCCTAGAGGTGGCAAAATGGGCGGGATTTGTTTGGATTTGAAATGGAATCGAGTCATATGAATTTGGATCCAACCTTATCCCATATGTGTTTTTGAACTAACTTGGGTGGGATCACTTTTAGATGGGGTTTAGGTTGATTCCGCCCAATACCCAAATCTATTTTCTACATATTTTTTTTCTTTTGATTCATTTTTTATTTTTTAAATAACTTTAATATTTTTTTATTCAATTTCTTTTAGTCTTATTGTGAATTTTATATTTTCATGAATTCATTTTACACTCTATGCAAAGTTCTTAGGACAACTACTCAGCTGCCTTGATATTCGATAACATAAAACATTTGATTAAAGTTATGCAAATTGAATAGAAAATTACAAGATAAGCTCACAGCGAGAAGGGATCCTTCTCTTTGATTACCCAAAGAGAAATTGGCATTCCTAGATGAAAGTTAAGCCTATGTGAACGCTGCTTCGATTTCTTTGTACAATATTGGAACATTTAAAATACAAAGAAAATGATCGAAGAAAAATTTATTGAGATCTACCATTTAGAAATTTTGTCAACCTCAACATTTCCATTGTTTTATTTCATGATTCTGATCAGGGGTTTCACTCTGGATACAACTCAAAGTATTCAGTGAAAGTCGTGTCAAAGTACTTGTTTATACACCATTAGTTCCATTTTGAATTAGTAGGATCCGGATTAAATTTTACGGACTCCCGCCAAATGAGCTCCTTGATATTCTCTTAGTGATGGATGGCTGCTCAAAATAAAAAACAAAAGGCATAGGACAAACAGGCTCCTATCAATGAGGTGCCAAATATGGGTGGGGAGATATTTGGATCCAATGAATATCCAAATATTTTCCATCAATTAATGGGTACAATTGAGATATGTTTCATTTTAAACCCAATATCACATTATAATATCCATTCCGTCCAAAGTTTCTTTAGGCATGGATAGTTCATCGGGAATTGGGACAAATTGTCACCTCTATTTCTGTCCAACAAAAAGAAAAACTCTTTTCTATCCGCCGTCCTCGAACTGAAACAGATTCAAATTAAGCGTTACAAGCCAAAAATAGCAAGCATAAGTTTGATAAATTCGAAAGATCCATTTATGGATGTCGAGACAGATATGTATCACAGAATTCACAAGATTCTACACAATTATTAATTAATTATTTTTGACAAAAAATTAATTAATTATTTTCTATCATATACAGTACACGTATATACACCGCAATTATGTAAAGTTCTCATAATAGTCCCTAACATTTTCATCTTCTGCAAATTTAACCCACAATATTTGAAATGAGATACTTTAGTCCTACATATATTTTTCACAACATTGTATTTTAATCACAAACTCCATAACCAATTTCAAACACAACGCGCACCACATCCTAGGGCTGCAAACGAGACGAGTCGAGTCGAGTTTTGGGCTAATCGAGTCGAGTTTCGACTAAATTTTACCAAACTCGAACTCGACGAGCCGGCAATTTTCGAGCTCGAGATCGAAAAAAATTAAAAAATAATTATTTTATTTTTAAAAAATAAATAAAATAATATATTTTTAATAAATAATAAAAATATTAAGGATATATATGTAATTTTACTATTAAAATAAAAAATATATATACTTAAAAATAAAAAATATATATATACTTAAAATAAAAAAATAAAAAATATTATATATATACTGTCTCGCGAGCTAACGAGTTTAATATTTTGAACTTGAATTCAAACTCGATTTCGACTCGAACCAGTTCGAGCTCGACTCGAACCGCTCGCGAGCGGCTCGATTTGTTTGCAGCCCTACCACATCCAACACCTCAAGGGCAAGAAGGAACTACGATGACAGATGAAGCCAAAAAAACTCATTTTTCCTTTTTTATCAGTTGAAATCTTTCTCTTGTATGTGTCCATGTCCTTTTGAGGTAGAAATAAACCGAAATACAACTTGGGATCAAAATGCTATGCTTAGAAAACCACAAAGCAAAAAAATTTCAAATATAAGAAACATTTCAATTGTTCGGATATGTTATTATCTGGAAAAAAAAACTTTTGCTTGCATTATATAACTTTTTTATAATCAATTTTTTTCCTTCCAACAATCTTTTTTTTTATCTCATTACATAATAAAAATACTTTAATATTATTTTTGAAAAATTCCAAACAATTTTTGTCTATGCACATAATTCAAAGAGCAAAACATGGCAGACAGCTGTTAAATTATTTCGTAATTTTACTTTTGACTATCAAATTATTTTTCGTCTCGATTCAACTACTCAACTAACTAATTAACATTTCCATGATCATTTCATCTGATTTTGTTCTTAATTTAAAAACAAACCAAAAAGTGCAAATCACATGTCAAATTTTTAGGGTAAATATGTCTATTGCACTTCTCAATCCAAACCTAAAATCTCCTATGGCTACTAAACTATTTTGCTTGTACATTTTTGGTCGCTAAAGTATTTTTTCAGTGGCCATTTTGAATCAAAAAATAATATAATGATCGATGCAGACACAGAAAATAGTTTAACGGTTGCCCAATTCTTTTTTTGCCCTAATTTAAAAAAGCTCTAGGGACTATTGGTGTAATTTACCCACAATTATACGCAAAACCGCTGCCTACTCCTTCGTAGTTGTAGTTGTAGACTTGTAAGCTGAACGAACGAATGATGAATCATAGCTATATCAACGGTTAAGAGAGTGGGGAGAGTGGTGGCATGAGTGGTGTGGACCCCACGACAAGAGTGGTAACGAGCTGGCAATCCCCCTTCGGCCCCTCCCCCTCTCCCGTCAAGACAGACGTTTCCCCTCGTGACAGTCTGTTCCCTTTCCTTTTTCTCTCTCACACACTCACACACTAGTTTCCCCTTCTAAACCCCCTCCCCTAGTCCCGTCCCCGCTTCTCATATTTAGCCTCCCCCCCATTTCCCATAACCTGATAACCCCTCAAATCCTTCCCAAATTCAAGCCCATCAACCCCTCCTCTCTTCCCTCTTCCCTCTCCCCTCTCAACTTCCTTGCTTTCCAGAAAATTCTCTCTTACTGAAGAAACTTGGGTTTTTGATTGTGTTTTTTTTTCCTTTTACTGAAGAAACTTGTTAGACATGGCGGAGGAAACAAAGACTACAGCAGCAGAGGCACCAGCGGAGGTGGTGGTATCCGATGTTCAGGCTGTTGTTGAGAAGGAATCAATGGTGGGCCCACAACCGGAGCCTGATCCGGTTCCAAAGTCGGAGGCGGCAATGGAGAAGCCGGCGGAAGAGGCTGCCGTGGAGACCCTCGAGGCTGAGGCTGAGAAGGCTGAGGAGAAGATTGCTGAATCTGCTTCATTTAAGGAAGAAACCAACGTTGTTGAAGAATTACCTGACCCGCAGAAGAAGGCTATTGATGAGTTCAAAAAGTTGATTCGGGAGGCGCTCGACAAGCATGAATTCACTGCCCCGCCTCCGCCGCCTCCTGCTGCTCCGGCTAAGGAGGAGGAGAAGAAGCCAGAACCGGAGGAGGAGAAGAAGCCAGAACCGGAGGCGGAAGCCGCGGCGTCGGCGGCTGCCACCGAGGAGGTAAAACCGACTGAAGAGGTGGAGAAGAAGGAAGGTGTTGAAGAAACGAAAACTGAAGAGAAGAAGGAAGCTGAAGCCGAGGCGCCTGCTGCTCAAGTCACTCCACCTGTATCGGAGGAACCACCAAAGCCTGAGGCCGAGCCCGTTGTTGAAGAAAAGAAGGAAGTCATCACACCACCATCAGCAGCGCCACAGCCTGCCCCTGTTGTGGCTGCGAAGGTGGAGGAAAAGGCTGAGACTGAAGAAATCAAGGAAACCATAGTTGAAGAAACCACCCCGCCTGCTGCCCCCGCTCCTGAGGCAGCTGCTCAGGTGGAGGAGCAGCCAAAGGAGGAACCAAAAGAGGAAGTCGTGGAGGAACCAAAGGGCCCGGAGGAAGTATCCATATGGGGAATTCCTCTCTTGGCCGATGAGAGAAGTGACGTGATCCTTCTCAAGTTCCTCAGGGCAAGAGACTTCAAGGTCAAGGATGCTTTTTCCATGCTCAAAAGCGTTGTCGCCTGGCGAAAAGAATTTGGAATTGAGGGACTGTTGGAGGAAGAAGGTGTTGGGAGTGGACTGGAAAAGGTTGTTTACATGCATGGAGTGGATAAAGAAGGACACCCCGTTTGTTACAACGCTTTTGGCGAATTTCAGGATAAGGAATTGTATCAGAACGCTTTTGCTGATGCTGACAAGCGTTCTAAGTTCCTGAGGTGGCGAATTCAGTTCTTGGAGAAGAGTATCAGGAAGCTGGACTTCCATCCTGATGGGATCAACACAATCGTTCAAGTCAATGATCTCAAGAATTCCCCTGGACTCTTCCTCTTCAAGAAGGAGTTGAGACAGGCCACCAATCAAGCCCTCCAATTGTTGCAGGACAATTATCCTGAATTTGTTGCCAAACAGGTTCATATCCATTTTTGACTTTGTTCTTCAGATCCTAAATTTGTTGTGAGTTGTTATTGAGTTTGATAATTTGATTTATTAATATTAATGAATCAAGTGTTGGTTGTTAAATTTGGAATTGATTCGCATGTGGGATGATGTTGGTGATCTCTGTGTAGGTGTTCATCAATGTTCCATGGTGGTACGTGGCCTACAATAGGATGATCAGTCCATTCTTGACCACAAGGACCAAGAGCAAGTTTGTATTTGCCGGTCCTTCCAAAACTGCTGAGACCCTATTCAAGTAAGCAGCAATCTTTGCCCGTTTCTCTCTGCTTGGTTAATTAATTTTCCCAATTCTGAATACATGCCTGATATCAATGTAACACGTACTTTTTTTGGATTGGTGAAATATCAGGTACATAGCACCTGAACAAGTACCTGTACAGTATGGTGGTCTTAGCAGAGGAGGCGAACAAGAATTTACTATTGCTGAAGCTGCAACAGAGGAAATTATCAAGCCATCATCTAAGCAAACCGTTGAATTCCCAGCTACTGAGGTAATAATTAGTGCTTGTCTTCTATAACATTTTCGGTTAATTGTAGATATGATAAAGCAATGATTTTTAACCAATGATTTCTTGGGATTGTTGGATACGCAGGCTGGCCGCACTCTTGTGTGGGAGGTAAGAGTAGTAGGATGGGAAGTAACTCATGGAGCTGAATTTGTACCGAGTGCTGAGGGTGGCTACACTGTGATTGTACAGAAGTCAAGAAAGTCTGGACCAACAGATGAACCAGTGATCAGTGGAAGCTATAAAATTGGGGAACCAGGCAAGATTGTGCTTACATTTGATAATCAAACTTCCAGGAAGAAGAAGCTTCTCTATAGGTCCAAGATCAAGTCAGAGTGAGGAATGGCATTGCAAATTCTTGAGGTGTTTGGGACCAAATTCACAAGGAGATTGCAATGCATAATAAGTGGGATCAAGGAGGGTTCTTTTTTTTTTTTTAGTTCATCCATACAATCATTTTTCTTTTCTTGGTTGATAGCAGCATTGGATAATGAGTTCAAAAGTTCTGGGATTTTGTTATTATTCATATTTGTTGGATTTTTTCTTTCTGGGTTCTTTTTAAACTTTTGTGGTTGGATTGTTCTAAATATCTTGTGAGACAATTGGGGGAGAGGCGTTAGAGAGATACATACTGAAAGGGGATTGAAAGTGTGCAATGCGGACAGCTGTTATTTATGAATATTTTTGTCAATACTTTCTTCCTGTAAACCACAATGTGTACATTTTGCTTCGTCTCTGGCTTTTTCTTCCTATGGATGTTAAATGCTACTTGCCAATTTTGGTGCCTGTTAGACATTTCCATTTCTTTAGTACTACAACGTTTGTCCTTTTGCTTTTAAATTTCATTCTTTCTTTGGATTTGGTGTTTTTCTATGCGGCCTTACGTTATGGAAAACGAAAAGACCTCTAGTCCTATATGTGTTGTTGTGAATGATCCAAATGGCATCTGAATTAATTGCATGTTAAAAAAAAAATCCATCAAGTGCATGGCCTGCTTTTGTATTCAAACATGGTGACCACGCCCACGTACGCTGTCCATCCACTTGGTTTAGTACTACTTGTGTCGGTTTGGTTCAGAGAAGGTTTTGATGTCTTGTGCTTTATTTTTTCTTCTTTTCATCCACTTCTAGGAATAGTTTGCAGACCGGTTTGGAACCGTTGGTGTCTGAAAGCGATACTAGTGTTAAATGGTCCTTGATGGAGTATACGTTGGTTAATGCTATATGTTTTTCTTGAGTTAATCACTCTATGTTTTCCTTGTGGTTCAATTTCTTCTGGTTCATTAGTGATAATTTTAGGGTGTGTTTGGATTGCATTTTCCGTCATTTTTCATGGAAAAATTACTGTAGCGATTTGATATATGTGAGGGAAAAAGGTGATAGGGAAATGTGATCACGGAAAATGACAATATTTTTCGACGGAAACAAGCAATCCAAACACACCCTTAGTTTAGGTACTTACATTTTCACAAAAAAGTTTTTTTTTTTTTTTTCAATTTTCAATTGAATTACGTGAGCTGAAGAGTTGTTTTCGGAGGAGCATGACCTATTAACTCCTATTAAATGTATCGTAAACATGTTTTTCAAATATTTTTTTTATTTTTTTAACTATCTTTTTAATATAACCTTAAAAACCTACGCAAAAAGTAATCCTCTTTCCAAGCGCACTCTTTATTCTTTTGGTCAAAATGATAGTTAGTATGTGTCTCCTTTTTCTTTCAAGTAGTCCAACGCCAAATGAAGAATCACTAAAAACAAAATTGAAATGTGATTAGATTAGAGAAGGAACAAAACCAAAAACAATAAGTTGGTAGTCGGAAAAAAAGGAGGGAGAGTGATACATATGAGAAAGGCAGAATGGACAAACAATTGGAAGAAGAAAGAATACTACTCTTTTTGGGTTTCAAAATGTTCACTTTGAAAACAAAAAGAGTGTGAGGGAAAACATCTGTCAGTCCTCTTTCTGCCAAAAAGACTAAACAAAACATGTTTAAAAGAGCAATGAGCTAAGAACAGCGGTAAAAGCTTGAGTAGGGCAAAGGATGTGAAAGCACTTTGTGAAAAAAGAGAAAGCAACTGATCTTCTGTTAATGTCAAGTTGTGTCTTTTTGAACATTGCAGTAAACTTATTAGATTCTTAGCTGTCTTTCAGAAATTGCCTTTGGTTGTTTGTTATGTTATGGTACATCTCATGTTTTAGGCCATTTTGTACTAAAGTTGGGTCCCTAATCATTCTCTCCACCAACTTTGTAAAAAAGCAATATACTGCTAAGAATTTTCAATTCATTTTTCTTCCTTGCTCTAATCATCATCTTCATCCTTTGGATGAAACAGCTCAAGTTACAAACTTGCAAGTAGTACTGCTATAATCAAAAGTGGCTGAAAGAATATTTGTGTTTAGATGAGTCCCCACTCACCAATAATGCCAGGAGACAACCCCTTATCCCTCTTAATATAATCCCAAGAATCTTGCTCAAATGTTCAAATCTTCTTCCCACTGATTATGCCAAGATGTCTGCTGTTTTACAGGTTCCTGCTGCAATAATTTCTTGGACACTCCCCACAAGTTATCAGTTATTCCTCTTCCTGCACCAAATCCCTTCACAAAGATTTTTGTCCTATGCATATCAGGATACAAAATTTTGAAAGAAGAAGAAGAAGAAACCAACAAGGCAATAACTTTCTATTTTCAGAATGGCAAGTTTAATACAATAATGCTTCCAAGAAATGTTCCTACAGACAATTAGCCTGTTCCCCCTTTTTTTTTTTTCTAATACTTGGGTTCTGTTTGTGAAATATTGGAGTGATAATCATCAGCTGCTTTAAATTTTTATTTAGACTCTCTCTTAAAGAAAAAGGGATTCAATTTGCATCTTTCCTGACGGTAATTCCGTGGAGAAGGAAAGGGTAGTGAGGAAAAAAAATTAAAGAAAAAGAAAAAGATAATAATCATATTGAATTTGAAGGCCCACCAAATTGCCAACGAGCAACCATGTCCTCTGATTCAAGACACCTCAAGTCAAAATTTTAGGCTCTATGCTTTTGCCTGTCAATTTTTAGGGATAATTCCACAAATCTTATATGGGGTTTTTGAGAATTTCACTTGCCACCCTACACAAGGTCCTTAGTGTTACACTTGCCTTCTTTTTTTTTCTTGTTCTTGGGTTAAGTGTAACTGTTAGAATGCTAAAAGAGAGATAAAATTGACAAAAATTCGTAAAACAAAAATGCCAAAAGAGAGAGAAAATGTCGACAACAAAAATGTATCCCAAATCCCATGACAATTGCCAAGGCCTAGGGGGAAAAAGAAAAGGTTTGTGTTCTTACTTGAGGATAAAATCTTTGCTTTGAGAAGATTATGGTCAATTCCCGAGGAAAAGTAAAAGAAGTTTGTTCTAAGACATCCATCGCAGCATTAATGAATGACCTATGAAATGAAAGTCAAAAGAGTTTTTGGTGTGTGGTGCTCAGTCTGTATTTGAAGTTTGGTTGTAACAAGTGTAACATCATAATTGACTGAGCATCTTTACTTGCACCCAAGCTTCTATCTTCCTTCTAGGAAATATCTGTTCGGATTGAAGTTTTTTGTAGAAAAATTTTTATGTTTTTCGTAACCATTTAGTCAAATAGCTTTTTATTTCGTAGAAGTTAAGTCATTATAATATATTTTTCTACAAAGAATCTAGAAAATGACAATCCAAACGAGAGAATTTTACTTAAACTTGAATTCTTCCAATGTACTCATCCAAATGATGTCCAAGATAAATCTGTTCTAGCACTATTATGTATGGTGTAATTTAATCTAATCTTAGTTCTTTACCTCATCATGTATGCTGCTTGACAAGTTCCAAAATGGATTTTTAGGACAAAGTTTCAATTTGTACTTCCATTCTTTCACGCAACTTTTTTTTCAACCCTTGTGCCATCTAAAAATCTTTGCCTTGGTGCACTTTGCTTTGTATGATGAACTTGTCAAGAAAATTAGTCATGATTAGAAAAAAACACAAGCACTCTTGGAATAACAAAGCTACACGAATTGTCATATTCATTCCATCAAGCACCAAAGTCCTAATTAACCATATTAGTTAGTTTAATTGGTATTTCTTCAACCTATTTCTTTACCTTATGTCATTTGTTTGAATAAAAAAAGGAAGAAAGGAAATGTGATCAACTTGCTAGTCATGACATGTGACTTTGATGAACATTACTCACAAGAAGATTGGCTGACTTTGTACAAATTTGTGGTTTATGGTTGGCATGCAATAAAGTTGACATAGAGAAGGAACATTTAATTAATTAATAAATCATGACATGTCATACTCAACTCAATTAATAATGCACAGACAGAGAATTTGAACAGGCACTTTTTTGGTTGACAAATTGAAGAAATGCTGGCCAATAATTCACTTATGTAGCACACAAATTAAGAGATTGCAAGAGGGAACATGCCAATGGGAGAAAGAAAATGGAAAAAAAAAAATAAAGAGGCAAAAAAGATAAAAGAGGCCATTATGTGCAAGACAAGAAGAAATGACAATATGGCAACAAAGACTTTTATTTATTGGTGTTTTTTATGTAAAAAGAATGCTTGAAAAAGATAATCGGAAATGATGATCTATATGTATATATATAACTGTCATCAGTGTAGGAAAGATTAATCCATATATATATATATATATATATATATATATAATTGGGGACATGCAGGTGAGCTCATTAATTGAGAGGCTTGGGACAGTACGAGTTTGGCACATTTGGGCAGGCAGCTAAGAAATCACCACGTATTGTTCAAGTAGGGATGTTAGAATTTGTCTTCAGCTTGAGAATTGAGCAATGAAAGGAATTGAAAATGGTCCCTGCCTAGATTGTTCTTTCAAAATTTCTGGTCTTTTTGACAAATGGGGAGTCAAATGGTCGATTTGAGAACAAGTATCTATATGGTGTAGTCATATAGTTGTATAAAACCATTAATGGGATAAGTCATTATCTGAAATAAATATTCGTGCTTGCATTCCAAATAAGTTTTTCAATCATATTTTTTTAATCTTTTAAATATTTTTTTTATCTCACATACGTCACATCGTAAAAAATATAATAGTAGTTATTTTATAATATTTCAAATAACGCTCTATCCAAACGCTCACCGATTTCTTGTAAATGAGCGTATTACTCATATAATATATGTTATTTAAGTTCACTAAACTTTTTAAATCCTTCTTAATAAGTATCTTGAGTGTCCAAAAATGCCATTTTACTATGTATTTTAAGGCGCTCCACACCTAACAAGGCAGTTAATTAGTCTACACTATATTTGCTTATTCGGGGATCAAAAGGTTTTAAGTACATAACAAGACAAGTTGATTTAACAACTTAAATGACAATCGCATTTACCTGTGAATTAAACATATTAGAGGGGTAAAATTGAAATTCTGGTGAATGGTTGATAATTTGTCTCAAATTATCAACTTTAAGCAATTTGTTTTTCTAAATAATATACAAAAAGACCGTGCTTCTGTGGTGACATGTTCAATCTGGAGGGGCAAAAGCCTACGTGCTAAAACAATTCTTGTCTGAATTGCAGTTTTCTAAGAAAAAATTTTTACTTTTTCCGTTAACATATTTTTTAATTCTCTTTTAACATATATACATCAAATTGTTACAGTACATTTTTTTTAAAAAAAAAAATTCTAAAAATAGCAAATTCAAATGGGGTCTAATTTTTTTTTTTTTTTTTGGGGAGAAAGAACAAAAAATCAAATGTGAAAAGATGGATATGGTTAACAACCAATGGTGAACATTAGTGGTGTAACATGGATTACAAACATTGTTGGGGCATGCGCTCGTGGGCTGAGTACTGCATGGGGATTTCGGCCACACGAAAAGTTGGAGCCATCACTCTTATAGCTCAACAGGGCAATCATGGCTGATGAAGCATGTGTTTAAACCATTATCAGCACCACTTTCTAGTTCCCTTCATTATTACTACGAAATTCCCAACCTTTTTTGGCTCACATTGGAAGGGGGATGGGGCAGGTATGGCTAGGTTTAGGTGCGTTCATACTGCTATTGTACTTCTTTCTTAATTTGATATTCATTTACGTAGCCTTATTATATTTCTTGGCATATAACAAAAGCTATGTTAAGTTTTCATTTGATAATCCAATTCAATATTTAAATTTAGTGGATTCATATCTTAACATGTTTAAGCGCGTTTGATAACAAAAAAAATAAAACATCTGAATTAATTAAGTGACACTGAATTTGTTAAGCAAAACTTAGTTCAAAAACTTCTCACTTAATGTGATATATATTCAAATGTATCGAATTTTGTATTTAACAATTCAATTACTTAATGGATTCAGACTTTAAATTTCAGATTTCAGACTTCAATTTCATCAAATGCACCCTAAGTGTGCATCAAATAATGAAATACAACAAAGTCACGTAAAATGTATATCAAATCATTAAAAAAATACAACAATCGTACGACCTGCACCTAAATCTAAGTGTACTTCCCCCAAAACCCCACTGGCAGATGGTATTGGTACCATCCAGATTCAATAATCAAAAGGCCCACTGACATATTTTATGTTGGAGATGAAGGTGGGGTTGGGGTTAATTAATTATGATGAACCTAATTGCAGTTTTTTCCTAAGTACACAAACCAATTCAAAGATCAAAGAACTTCTAAACATCTTGTAGCATCCAAGATTATATTTCAGTTATTTGCAATGGTCGATGTGATCAAACTTGCATTTTTGGGACCTGATACAAAAATTAGTGGAGTGATTCATATTGCGAAGATTTCTGGGTGGATCTCTTCCCCAGCCAAATTCATGAACCTTGCGACCACTTAGGTTACTAAGTCAACAGTTGTGGCATGATATCAGCCATACGAGTATATTAATGTTATGGAGTCACAATTTTATTCGTACAGTTAAATGCCAAGTGTAGGGTATGAAACCAAGTTCATTGCAACAATTCTCCTCGAGTAACAAGAATATATGCAGGCCCAATATCCGGATATGGTGCACATAGCTCAATACCTATAATTTGGTCTTGAAGTTTATCCAGAAATGTGAAGCTTGCTGCAACATTTCGCCTTGCCTAAAGTTTCTGAAGAGCATCCCTATACCTAATATAAAAGCAGTTCTTCTCCTGATGACAATCCACCTTTCCTAAAGTTTGGACTAAGCTACCTGCATCATTAATATCATATCAAGATTACCAAAACCCCTGAATATATGCTAAACATTTTATGCAGGACGAAATAAAGGGAAACCAAAAGGGTTAAATCTAAGATAAGAAATAACGAAAAAATAACCAAAACACAATTGGAGACCACTATAAAAGAAAACCCGATTGATGAGATAAGAGAAAGAGAAGCCCACACACAACAGTTCTTGATGATGTTCTTCCATGGCCATCCCTATTTTGAGAGAAAGCATGCAAAAAATACAATTCAGAGAAAAGAATTATAAAGAAAATTCCATGTTGAGCAGGGCAAATCTTGTGAAAAAAGCCAAAAATAGATATAAAGAGAGACCTGATGGTAGTAATCTGAAAGAGCACGGTATTCATCCTCTGAATTTCACTTCTTCTACTTTGCGCTCTTGTAGCTTCCCTTCTCTTTATTCAGGGGAGGGAAGAAGAGGCGGTATTATAAGAGAAACAAATCATAGAAATATTTAGGATATGGAGAATAGAAGTGAGATTTTGAAAAACAAAATAATAATAAAAAATCACCGGTCATGGGAGACCAGCGAGAGAAGTGAAAGAAACAAGGGTGAAAAGACCGAAAAATAAAACAAAATAAAATAAAAGAAGTCATGCGCAGCACACATCAGCCGGTGACAAAGGACGACGAAACGATGAAGAAGTTGGCAAATGTCCTCCGCTTGTATCCTATTTATCTTTCAAACTTAAAAATGCCCTATGAGGATAGTGCTAAACCCGTGCACAAAGGGGATGCAACTGAACATTTGGCTATCCATTACCATAAAATAGTAATATGATGTATTGAAAAGCTTATAGGTAATAGATGGCTTCACCATAGATAGGAAAGCAGAGAGATTTTTTACCAAGTGATCTCTCTGATGTTCTTATTTTCCACAACCCCTGATTCATGAGAAAGACTAGAAAAGACAAAACAAACTCATGATTCATGTGGCAAACACTAACCAAGAACAAACTATGTTCCTGATCCACGAAGAAATCTAAAAATTCAACAGCCACGGTTAAGGTTAGGACACCATTATATTATTATATTCATGCTGTTAATTCTGCGCACCTGGGCAATTAGTAACCATACATGGGCATGCTTTTGCATGTTCATGTTACCTTAAGATGATGACTAACCACCATGGCTTCTTAGAAGTCTTGGCATTGCAGACTTGGTTACAGACTCAAAGTGACTAAGCTTATTTTAAGAAGTTTGAACTTTTAAGCAAGAGTGAGTAGTGATGCCTCATTGTGATTATTAAGGCCCCATTTCCGTTTTATTTATAGTACCAAACAGCAGCTCATGTACTCAACCTAATTACAAAAGACTAAGATGTCATTATATTCCTAATGCTCTTCTTGATTTCATTCCATATGGGCATCACCTCCCCTGAGATGAGCAGAGGCAAAATTCTGGAGCACACTCCACTTCTGGAGATCCACAACAATGCACTCCATGGTTATGTTGATTACAAGGTGGATGGAGATCGGTATCTTTCATGCTCGGTTAGTGTAGGTGTAGTACTACTACAGTATTTTTTCATGGCAGGAACGTACAGCATATCAAATCTTCCACTTTCTGGAATTTTCACTTCATGCAGCTGCTCAAAACTATTTTTCTATATTAATGGAAAATTAGTGCATCCTTTAAGCAGTACTATGATACCAATCTTAAAAGGTACCTAAAAGTTTGATAAAGAATAGATCCCAGCTCATCATTTCTTTAATAAGAGGCGGATTTATCCGAATAGAAAGTACAAGTTGGTATTATAACATTCTCTCAGAGTTAACAACTCATGAATTCAAGTAGCAAAATTGAGGAAATTACCTCAAAACCCCAGTTCCATCCCCAGAGAGAGAGAACATTTAGATAAAAGAGCAATGGATATTCACGCAAAGGAGCATCACCTCTTGAATAGAAATAAACACTGAATAGTATGTCAAAATATATAACCAACATATCCTATACCAGTAAATAGTTATAACGTAAAGAAAGTTAAAGGACCCAAAAAGAAAAAAGAAGAGAAAAGATTAAAGGAGAAACAGAACTACAAGAAGCACAAAAGAAAAGTTAAAAAAAAAAAAAAGCACCAACCAGAAAGAACCAATTAAGGGCATGATTACTCTCTAGACTAGTTTCAGATTCCCACTTCTTGAGTCAAAATAGTGAAAGCAATAGCAGGCTAAGGGGAAAAGAAGAAGTAAAACTATACATGTCCCATCTCCATCTCTAATATACATAAACACACATATCGAAGTACTTAATCTAACAAAAGTAGTTGAGATGGACAAAAAAAAATCAAATCACAAATGATCTAAGAGTCAGCAAAAAGAGCGCACATCGGGCTTCCCAACCCCAAGCCCACACTATCATCCTGTTTATACTAGAAAAGTATCATCAAACAGGTCTGTAATGGTCATCCTCTATTAGATGGACCAAGCATGATAGGTATGGAAACCTGAAACTACATTTCTGATTACAACTAAAGTGAAATAATTCAGAATCAAACCTCATATTTCTTGAACATTCACAACACTTGCACTAACCATGCAGGGTGGCGAAGAAACTCACTTTTGAGAATACAAATTGCCATTAGCAAAAGATTTCGTAGACTATACAGGCCTGCCTAGAAAAGCTAAAGAATCAACGATAGCTAGAGCATAAAACAATTAAACAGGAATACAAAGGAAAAGGTTTTCCGCTTGCACGGAGCATCCTTTGGATTCAGCGCAGGCCAAAAGAGATCCATTCCTTTACCTTTTTCAAAGCTGAAGTGTCTTAGCTGATGAGCAGAAGATCAACTAGTTTAGATTGTCAAAATTGAAGAGCAGCTAGAGCAATAGAAGACAGGCAACGAGTGGAGGAAGGAGACATGAAGAAACCATAAGTTTCTGAACCAGATAAGCAATATAGTTTGGCGGAATTATGGTTGAGGTGGATTTGGAATAAAAGATGAAATACATTGCTGTAAGAACATTATTTACTATATTTACTACTTGAGGAAGAGAACTCGTATTCATGGTCCTGTGGTACTATACTTAATGCTTGAGGAAACAAATTATCATCTTCAATAATAAGGCATCTTGAACCAGGCATTGAATGTTAAGACATGCATATGCTCATTTGAGAATTTCAAGATTTTCTTGAACACTTAAGCCATAAGAATGCATATTCTCTTGCAAGGTAATTAAATAATTCAAAATACTGTGAAGCAAGAGCATTGCACCATAATTTAAGTGGTACCATAAAGGCCTACATGATAAAACAGGAGATAATGAAGAAGGGAATTTTATGCCTAGAAGCATATCCTCAGCACACAAATAATAAAAGATCAATATTACTGGCACAATATTTGGCTTAGGAAAACCTTGCAACGAACTGAACACAAAAAAGCTGAAACGTAACTAGTTCATGGATTCATCAGAGAAATAAATTAATAGGTAAAGACTCTGTTACATAATGTTACAGCAGAAAGGAATATATTATAGCTTTATGAAATCATAAGGTCTTTATGAAGCAAAGAGAAACCTACTTTTCTGGAGGATTCCGTCCATCATTGAACCCCCCCCCCCCCCTTACGTAGAAGCCCTTTCCCTTGAAACAGACTTATTCTTTCTTCTTGGAACATTAAATCTCTCCAGTGATCCACCACAAGCACTTTTACAATCTTGAATCTCTGTTCTTAGATGAAATTTAGTTTTACTTTTGCCTGCATTTTGGGATGAGTTTCTTCCAGGTGATCTTCCCCACACAATTCTTGGAGACTTCTTCTCTTTATATCTTTTCCCTGATAAGTTTCCCCTATTTTTTGAATTCATTCTTTCTTCATATTCATCATCACTCTCCTCATCAGACAAATCATGCATTTCCTCATCTTCTTCCTCACCACTTTTATCATCTTCCAATGCTTCTTCCCCTTGATCTCCCTTCAGATCACGACTCTTCTTTTGCTCTACACTCTTCGATCTTTTATCCTCCTTCACCAAGTTCATCAATTGAACATACTTGTACCTCATGTCCATCAAAGGAACCTTCTTAATCAACATGCCCCTTTTATAAGCCTCCTTCAAAACCACCGTATGAGTTCCAATCTTACTTGACACGTAGAATATCCCCGGATGTTGTAACAATGCCCTCTTAAACCTCGACCTGAGCCCCAACCACTCGCCTAAGCTAAGTACACTCTCCCTCTCTCCTTTACTTCCAAGAAAAAGATTAAGAATCTCATGTAAAACCGCGACAGCCCACTTGTCGGAGTCATCACTTTTTGGCGCAAGATGCAGGGCATTTTCATAAGGTGAGATGTATGGCAACTTTCGCCACTCATCCACCCACTTTTTATATTTCTTATCCATCTCAAAACCATTGGAATACTTGAAAGTAAACTCAATTGGCTCCTTCCCCTTTTCCAAGGCTGAAACCGCAAGCTCATTGCTCCAACAAACTAACTCCAAAAACTCTCCATTTGCATCATCTATCACTCTAAAATAATCGGGAAATTCCGGAACAACAGTTTTTACATAATCTTGAGGCAAACCCAGTTCCCACCTCAGCCCATCAATGATACTTAGTGGAATGCTGTTAATTCTACGAATCATCAAAAGCTTTAAAAGACGGTTAGCAACATCTTGCCTGTAGTTTACACTTTGGTAGATAATTTCTTCTTCCTTGTCGTAATTCAGCACTTCCGGGGTCAGCTTGACGTGTGGTTGAATGCCAATGCCACCAGGGAGAAATTCTTCAAAAATTGAAGGGAATTTTCGAATGAATTCAATGGGACGAATTGGAATTTTAAGAGAATCTCTGGATTGAGATATCAGCGACAGCGGGAGAGACTTTGAAGGCTCTGATTTTATGAGATTTTTTAGGTTCAGCACTGGCTTAAGGTTTCTTTCTCTATCGACTGCGTGGTCGAGTCCCCTGTCACGGACGCATTTCACAGAAGCCGCCGCGTCGTAGAGGCATCGAAGCTGCAACTGGTGGTGGTTGTGGTCGGAATGTCGAAGGCGACGGAGGAGGAAATGCATCTTACTGTGGCGGCTATCGGCGTTGGAAGGTTTTAGCGGGATTTTAGCATCTCAGATCTTCTACTAATTAATTAAGGGGACTATGGGAGAATGAAATATCTTCTTTTTTTTTTTTCCAATTTTTGTTTTGGTTATATTCACTTTGCCCCCTGACTCTTGTTGGTTGGTTCACTTTTTCCCCATCAACCCAGAAAATAGGCACTTTGCCCCCTCTAAATTTACACCATTATGACATGGCCAAATTTCAAGTCAATTTTTGTACTTCAGCGAAACAAAAATACTAAAATACCTTTTGATGAGACCAAGAAGATCCAGAGTCACATTCTTTTTTTTTTTTTTCCTTCGGTGGGGTATCCGGCTACATTGGCAACTGACTAGTCCTCTGCTGAGTCCTCCAGAATCACATTCAAGTTCACGAAAATTTCATTTACTTAAGGCTAATCACATGCATTACCTTTATTTCACTTTCTTCACTTCTTACATATTGGAACTTTCTCCTTTTCTCTAAATTGTAGGTTGAAGAGTAGGCACGACTAAAATTTAGATGTTTCTATCCTATTTGTTTCTCTCTATCTCTCTCTCTCTCTCTTTTTTTTTTTTTTTTTTTTTTGCTTGTGTGACTTGCACTTCTTTTATTCCCTCTAATTGTTGCAAATTTTGTAATTTTACCACACTTAGGATAATCCCTTGTTGCAAATTTTGACAATCCCTTGTTGTTTACATCAAAAATAAAAAAAGAAAAATAACTCTCCTTATATGAAAAATCTTGAAAAAGGGAATAAGAAAATTCATATTCATATAAAGTGTGTAAATGTTGGAAACTTTGTGATTAAGTATCGATTAATGGCCATAGATTCTATATTAATTAATTTTGTAGGAGATATATGAAATTAACCATATATAAAAAATATAATCACTCACATGTGTACATACTCTCATATATGCACATTTGAGCTTATACATATGACATAAATGAATTAGAATATGCGGATTCAAATGGATGTAGGCATGTCAATAGATAGGGTTTGAGTTGAATTCTTTTGATTCACATCTAAATTCATCAACCTCAATAGAGTGAATTTCAAATCAGTACTTTTATTTATTGTGTATTTTTTTTAACTTTAGCTTATAATGAAACTACATGTATACTCTTGTTGATTTAGTTTATATAATCTTATATTGTTACTTTGATTTGTAGAATTCAACGTGGGAAAATCATTCAAAATATCCTTCACATTTTGTCAAATCAATTTTTTTCATCTTTTACCTTTAAAATAATAACTTTACGTCATACACAACATCAAGTCAATAAAATTTGGTTTCAACTTAGATTTTCGACCACCTTTTAGGCTGAATCCATCACGTGACCCGTACATTGTCTTTTCTTAAGAATAACAAGATTAAATCTCATTTGTTGTTTAAAAAAAGGAGCCAATTCATGTTTATATTTGCCTCTAAAAAGGTAGAATCTGACTCAAACTTTATTTATTTTTCCTTAAAAAAGTGGGATTAAACTCATTTCATATTCATTTTGTTTCCAAAAATGTAGTATCTGACCTTTTTCTATGTAAAAAAGACTTCAAGTGGGTCATGCAGTGATTTCAAGTTAAAAGGTTGTTAAAAACTTAGGTTAGGATCAAATTTGTAAGTGATATAAAATTAATATTTTAAAAGTAAAGGGCGAAAAAATTTGTTTGGTGAAATGTAAGGGGCGTTTTAAATGATTTTTCCATTTAACATATTAAAGTAACTGTATTCCATATCTAACTTTATTTTATAAGGAAGTTTAGTTCCATAAAATTCTTTTCCTAACATAAAACGTCATCTTCAATAGTATACAAATGCCCATGCTAATGTTAGAGGGTATTGGATTTCAACACGTACGGACTGTACGGTACGGTAATCCTAATTATTTATGACAAGGGTATTATTGGAAAGTGAAAATTAAATTACTAAATTACCAAATCATATTAATACTTTTAATATAGTTGATAGATTTTTTTAGCAAGGGGAGGGAGGATTTTAAAAAACGAGGAATGGGCGATGATTAAAGTCTATAATTCCTTTAACCCTGAATTTTACCCATTAGATCAAGGCCTCTTCGATCATTAGCTATTCCAGCAAGTAGCCAATAGAAGTGGTCAAGATGTGCTCTATTTATGTCTTGGATTCAAATTGTCCTTTTCTCCTATCCGTTTCTTAAATCCCATCCCTACCCTATTTAATAAAAAAAAAAAACTTTCACTACCCTCATGACTTGCAGCACTATCAATCGTAGAGACAAGAATACCGCTAAAGAAGTCCCCTATGACTATGTTACCATAGGAAAAAGAGGGCCGAAACATCTTAATTAAGTAGGCCCCTGATCATAGAAAATATTCAGCATTCCTACTTTAATCAGTACATGTAAATCTATACATCAGAATCGTTTTTGATATTATTTGGTTCCCTATAAATGTAAGATTTTGCTAAACAAACAAATGGAATTAAACCCACAACACCTATTCTAGCAAGCAGCCAATAGAAGTAATCAACATGTGCTTGATTTAAGTTATCTGAGAACCAACTTTCTCTACCCCCTTGGCTTGTAATTTTGTCAATCAGAGAGACCAGAAAGCTGCTCAGGAAATCGCCTATGCCTATGGCCCCATAGGAAAAAGAGAGGCCTGAACATCTTAATTCTGTAGGCACCTGATCATAGAAGAATTCCTGCATTCCTACTTTAATCAACACATTAGCTAGCCCAGATAATAAATATTGAGGCGCCAACCACCAAAAGCTTATGGGAACTATTGCATTAGGAATGTCGAGGAGACCAAAATCTCGAGTAGTTTTGAGTCTTTTCTTCTCAATCACAGCAGCAATGACCATGTTCAGGATAGATATTGCCATGCCAATTCCTATTCTCTGAAGCATTTTTATCCCGAAGGGATATCTTGTTATCCTTCTCGCAATTGGGACGAAAATTCGATCATAAATTATGCTACAGAACACTATAGAAAGGGAGATGATAATCCAAAGTGTTGCAGCTGGTATACTGTAACTTTGCTCTATTGATCTGTCAAGTGTTGTTGCTTGCTTGATAAATAATGTGCTGGATTGAGCATGTCCAATTGTATATGTTAAACAAGTTACCCATATTGGAAACAGCCTTAAAACTTCTTTTACTTCTTTAATCTTACTAGAGGTTTCATTAATGTTTGTCAAATCATCACCTGCAGAAGGCGAATCATCCTTGAGAAACCTGTTTAGAAAATGCCACATTAGCAAGGATGATCAGAAAACATGGATATTGGCAAGCACTGACCATATGCAATGAGTACCACAAGACAGCATCAAAGGAATACGTGAAGGGGTTGCCTGAATTTGGAACTAGGATCTGACTATGAAGCAACAATCTAATGCAAGTTAAAAGTTTAATCCTTGGTTTTAAAGGGAATTTACTGCCAATCGGCTCAAAATTTTGATTATTCTTTTTTTGTCTCGAAAGGTGTATTTCTAAACAAGAATTGTTTTGTGTGCCAAAGTTATGAGTGACTTTTTTTCAGTGAGATGGATGATACAATCATTGGTTGATAATTGGGCTCAATGCATCAGATTTGAAAATAGATTTACAATAAGGGAATTTGATTTTTTTTTCGATGTGTTGTTTTGGATTTGAGCTCAAATCAGATGACTGCTTCATATGTTGAAGAGAATAAATCTATGAGATCAACTTTTAATCAGACAAAAAAAAAAAAAATCCTTACTCGTCATCCAGAGAGCTTTCTTCGCTGCTTGATGAGGGAGCTACAATGTACAAAGCACTGATGCTTTTCTTGAATCCCTTGTCATTCTGCCCACAATGGATTTCTACCTCTTTATCACCTATTGTGGCAGGAAATCGATACGTTTTGTTTCCCAGTAAAAACAGGATAAGCCCGACTATCATGGGCAGACATGGAATCCCAAAACCAATGCCCCAATTTATGTTGTCATGAATGTAAGGTAAGATTAAATGTGTAGCTATTGCACCCATGGCCCCGACACAAATCGACTAGTTGAAGAATGAGCTCTTGGCTTTGCTCTCTTCCGTATGTTTTTCATCAAATTGATTGGCTCCAAAGGCTTGAAGAAAGGTGTTATAACCTTTCGCCAGTGCGAGCGATCCAAAAAACAAACCTTTGATATACATATCAGGTGATTCAGGCCCTGCTTCATTCTTGGTTCTGTGACGGCTCTACCTCACCCTAGGGCATATTCCAAGGTTTAGTGGACCGTTTGCCCAATTCTCGTCAGGACTCACTCACTCGTATCTCCAGAAAATAACTTACATCCATGGAAAATAAATAACACCACAAGTTCAAACTTAATATATACATTGATGCTCAGATCCAGTTACAAGGCTTATACACGCCCAAATACATTAACGCATTTACAATCCAAGTCCAATCAACCCTAGTCGGGTACTAGTGCGAGTACAAGTCAAAATTTCAAAACTAGACTACTCTGTACAAGTCTTACGCCTCGCTTGTACCCCCTGCTAAGGAAAACAAATGGAATGAGGTAAGCTATATGTTTAGTGAATAATCAGGGGTAAAAACGTAAAATCACATCCAAATAAATATGTAATCAAGATATTTCACATCAATAGATAGCAATGTAACATTACAATGGTAGGATACGGGTGGTTTCAAAACTAATTCAATTCCCCGAACTTGAACGCCTATTGACACTTTGTTAACCAAAATACTCATAGACCGTAGACTCCACTTAACTTTTCCCGTTCACCTTATCAACCCCCGCTGGCCAGTCAACAGCACACAGTAGCTCGAGCGAAACAAAATCACTTAGGTTTAATCAAAACTTTAACAAAGAATTAAATCCCAAGATTAGCATGGAACTATCTTCGACCAAGCCCCGGCTGGTTCGAATAGTTTATCAATCGTTGGAACCAAACTGGAACCAAACCCTGAGATATCTAATCTCTCAATAGATGATATCTCTCAACAAAGTATACAACAAAGTATTTACCCCAAACAATACACAGCAAATGGGATTCAATTCAAGTCATGTAATCACCCCATTAATACTCAACAAAAGGGTGATACGCAACATAAGACATGTATTCTCATATATGAAATCAAACAAAGGATGGGTTTAGGTCGAGTGAGATAAAGTATACTCTCGCCTGAGTACCCATTTAACATATACAAAGCACTTTAACAATTTCACCTCAATAAACAACCTAATTACTCACTTGATAAAGCTTGATACGAAAAACGATACAATTCATTGAGTTTGACCGTCACCGTCAAAAACCTTACAGTCTGTATTAACAAATTATATACACACATAAGTGAAACGGCCATACAATAGCAGTTTATAATTTAAACGATCGAAAACGGTCAACAATAATAAAAAACGGTCAAAACGACATTAAGGCCAAAAGAATGTCGAAATCGGCCGAAACGGCCGGAATGGTAACAAAATAACAAAAATAGTTTTAAACGGTCCAAAACGGCAAAAAACGGTTGAGAAATGCACGTACGTGTGCCCGAAAATGAAAACGGTTACACGTTCGCACCCAAAGGCACAAACGGACATTTCACAATTTTGACACCTTTTACGGTTTTAATTATAATAGAAGCTGTAGTCGTCGGTTTAAGGTGTACAAGATACCTTTCGAAGCTAAGGCAAAGGCCTACAACTTTGATGAAGACTACTCAGTCCAGTTCGTAGTGTATCTAGGTCAAAATTTCAAATTACAGAACCAGAATCTCACATTCGGGCTAGTTAACCGCATTATGCGTAACCGATAATAACTCAGGCTACCGAATTCCGATTAAGGTGTTTTTGGAAAGCTAGGCCTAGCACTACAATTTTTGTGTTTTGGCCAAATACTAGTTCAGTACGGATCAGGGTGAAAAAAATGCGGTCAAATTAGTGAAATGTCAAAACTGTCCACAGAGCTCTACCTATGGCAGTCAGGGGTATTTTTGTCATTTCATGAGTTACAGTGCTCGGATTGAGCTGAAATTTTGCAAACAACTATAAAATATCATTCTCTAAAACTTTTATGTTTTGTGCTAAACTTAATTCGGCCTCCATCATGGTCGAACAGGATTAGGCAGAATAGGGTATCTTCAAAACTGAAAACTGGAATTCATGCAGTCCAATGCTAATTTTCTTATTTCTGGCTTGATTCACTACCTCAACTTCCTATACAAGATTATAACTATCATATACCATCTAACCAACAAGAAATATAGTTGAAAACCTCAACCCTAACTCAAGAACATGCACCATATCCATCCAAACCAGAAATTTAAAGCATCAAAACTGGAAATTTGTATCACTTGCTGGAATTTTCTCAAACCACCATAGAAATCACCAAATCTTCCATACAAACCCACAAAAGTGATATATAAACTATCATTAACCCTTATTAGTATCTTATAACAATAAAATCAACATTTCTACTCAATTGCTACAAGTTTTTACAAAAGTTCAAGGCTGTTTTACCTTCCAAAGGTTGGTTCACAATGTTGCACTTCAAGAACCAAGTTCCTTAGCTTTCTTTTGCTCTAACTCCCAAGCTTGTTAGATAGGTTGCACACAACCAGAATTTATTTTCTTGTTCTTCCTCTTGTTTCTCTCGATTTTTCCTTTCTTCTTTTCTCCCAAGAACTGGCAAAAACTTACCTTGTTTCTTTGGCTTTGGTCTTGCTAAGAAGATTAATACTAAGTCACTTGGTCAAAGTCCAACACCTTTTTGATTAGTCAATCACAATTAAGCTTTTTAGGATTTTCTTAACTAACAATCATTTTAGGATTTTCTTAAAATCTTACCAGTTTTGCACTCACACTCATTTCTCCTTTGTCTTGTTGCCAAGTTAGAATTATTCCTTTGGTGTCAACAAATAAAATTTTTTTTTCTCCCTTGTCTTGCTAACAAGTTAGAATTATATGGTGGCAAAGCCAAAGCTTCGTTCTCGTGTGGAAACAATTTCAAGAGCACCCGTCATCTTCGTTAGGTAGTCTTCACCACTTGAGCTAATTTTTTTTACTTAGGCGTAGATGCACAATAACCGAAAAAGCAAGGGATAATTTTATGAGTTAATCTTATATTATATTGATTAATAGTGTATACATCATCATTATTAGAATATTGACACATACATAAAATTTAGATTTCAAATTTAAATTTAAATTAATTGTTATGTATTTAATGGTGATAGTTTATACAAGATTAATCTTAATTACATTCAACTCTTTTGAGGTTTGACTAAATGACAAGTTGAACCCCTAGATTTGGCCAAATTATCAATACCCCTAACTTAATGATAATATAAGTAGAGCTGCAAATGAGTCGAATCAAATCGAGTTTTAACTAGGGATGGCAATGCGGGCGGGTGACCGCGGGCACCCGCCCCGCGGGGGGCTAATGGGAAGGGGGTTGGAGCGGGGGATGGGGCGGGAGCGGGGGGAATTTTTTCCCCCCCGCTTAGAAACGGGGTGGGGGCTGCTCCGCCACCCGCTTTTAAAAAATAAATATATAAAATATATATAGGTATATAATTATATATATAATATATAATTTAATTAGTTACAAATTTATGATAATGATATTATTAGTTATATGTATTATATGATGTCTATTAGTATATATAATATAATTGATATTATTAATTATACTAATAATTATATATATGTACTAATACAAATTATTAATTAGTTATACTAAATTTACTAATACATTTATACTAAATCCCTAATTACACTTAATACAATAACATTTTTTCTTAAAAAAAGTACAAGTACAATAATGAATTAGTGATTGTATTTGTACTAAAAGTGAAAACTTGACTACTTTAGTTATATTTATTTCATCATGTTGGATTGTATTCAAATAATTTTTGTTTGATTGTTTTTATAAGTTTCAATTATAAACTTACAATGAATAATAATTTGATGATGTGTTGATATTTTAGTACTTGATTATTTGCTAAAATTTAATCATAATAAAATTATATAATAAAATTTTATTAACCCCGCGGGGGAAGCAGGGCGGGGCGGGGGACGGGGGATGGGGCGGGGGCAGGGGGAGTTTGTAGGCAGCGGGGCGGGGGATGGGGGAGGGTTCCCTCGCCCCAACCCCGCCCCGTTGCCATCCCTAATTTTGACCAAGTTGAGTTGAGTCTCGACTCAATTTTATTAAATTTGAACTCAAATTCGAGTCCAACAATCTCTCGATATAAAACTCGAACTCTGATTTCGACCTCAAATTTGAGAAAGAAAAAAGAGATTATAGGATAAAGAACGCTAACTAGAATGTAATCAAAGCTTTTGTCCACGAGAAGTTCTTGCGGCAGCTGTGTTTACCCAAATCCATTCCGATCTTCAGTTTTTGACTCTTTGCAACTTATCACCCTACTCCTTTTCTTCACCACTCTACCTTGAACCATCTCGAGATCCAAATCCATCACTTACCCAAACATCTTAGTGTCATTAACATAGTCATTACTTTTACTAGTTATAACTTATACCAACATCTTCACATATACCAAATTACACCAACTAACAACTACCCTTTCAAAGGGATCCCAAATCCAATCTTTAAATCAAACCCTTTGAACAAAAATTCCTGCAATGGATTGGGGATGTGTCAATGAACGTAAAGAACTGGCCAAGTTCTGTGAATAAATGTTCTTTTTGATAAAATTCACCCCATTCTAGAAATGTGTCAACAATTGTTCAAGAAAACTTCAAAGAGCAACTCTATTTCGACGATTGTTTTTAAAAATGTCATTATTCCTAGAATTTGGCCCTATTTTTCCATTTTTTTTGTCCTTCAAAAATTCTACCTAAACGCATTCTAGAAATGCGTCAAGCCTAATTCAAGAAAACTTCCAAGATCAACTCTTCTTTGAGTGACTGTTCTTAAAAGTACGATTATTCCTAGAACATGGCCCAAAGAACTAGAATTTCTTTTTACTTTTCTTGAAAAAAAAACAAGAATGAAATCGAGATGAACCAAATTGGGATTGAAACCAATCGGCAAAGTAATGCCATGAGAAGGGCCGAAGGCTAGACCACAAGGGATCGCAAGAATCTTTAACCAAAGAACCAATGTGAGAGACAATGCAAAGACTTGTGACAATAAAGTGGGAGACAATGCAAATTTTCCTTCAAAAAAATTTGGCAAACACGAGGTTTAGAAAAAAGAAATTTCGTCCATCTTATTTTGGCGCTTAGTAATATGATACACCTATTTAATTTGAAGTTTGGTTGTTTCATCTATTATTGCGTGAGTTTGATTTTTTCTATTTGACCTTTGAAATGGTGATTGAAATGGTGCTTAGAGGGCTAGCTTTTGCAAATTATGATATATATATATATATATATATAGGGAAAAAAAAGAGGATCTATTGGCATAATTACGTAGAAAAAGGTGAGAATGATAGTAGTGACTAGTGATGGAGCAAACACTTGCGTAAATCCGATCTATGTAAATTCTATAGTCTAAATTTTTCTACACCATCTCAGTAACTTAAGAATCGATGGTGTGACAAAATTTGGATCACATAATTTATAAGATCAGGTTTACCCACGTTTTTGTCGTAATGATGACAAGGTTTTGATGGAGTAGGGAGATGGGGCGAAGAAAGGATGGCAACCATGGAGGGTTTTGATAGCGTTAATGGAAGAAATTTAGCCCATTAAAATATTGGAATTCTTTTTTTTTTTCCTAACGATAACAATTAAAATTTTGGAATTCAATAATGGCATTCTTGAAGATAGGGGCTACATGGGTAAACATTTGTCTATTCCATTGGGGAGACTGTAATTCGGTCAAAACTCAAAGTTAATTTTGTAATTTAGGCAAACCTCAAGGGAGGTAAATGTAATTAACCCAACAAAGGAGAGTACATGTAATAGGAATGGGCTGCACCTGCTATAAGAATTTCTAAAAAAAAACTAAATGGGCCTCTGTCGTTTCTACTGAGCCGGGCTTCGTCCATGGAAATCCACAAAACGAACAGATTCACCTACACAATCTTAACTCAACATAGGCCCAAAAGATTCATCCCACTAACAAAAATTTTCCCTCAAAAAAAAAAAAAAGAAAAAAGAAAAAAAATTCCAGGAATTCCGGAAAATTCCACAAATAGAGTAAAAAACAAAAAAGTTCTCGTGATAAATCTAATACATGAAAAAGTTTCTCGTGATTTCAAAATGCACAATACGACACTTCATGTTTTGAATTAAATTATAAAGGTGATGAAATCCATTAAACTTAACGGAATGGATGAAATGACAAAAATATTTTGATATAATTAAAGCAAAAGATAATTCAATAAAATTATTTATTTTATTCTCTAGAAAGAATTTATTCTCTAGAAAGAAATAATTGAGGATTAAGGAATAAAATAAGTATATTTGTTAAAAATTAATTATAAATTTTTTTAAATTTTAATAAATTATTTTTATTAAATTTAATAAATTTTATTATTTTTATAATTTAATTTAAAATATAAGATATCATGTATAATACGGCGAAACCACGAGAACTTTTCTATATATTAGATTTATCATAGACTTTTTTTGTTTTTTTAACCCCAAATCATACGAGAACAGACAGAATCGAAACCCTCGCGGATTATATGCGGACCCAGTAAGAAGAGGAAAACGAAGAAGAAGAAGAAATCAAAGGAAATATAGGAAAAAAAGGTTAATATTCCCTCTAAGCTTTCTATTTTCATATAGATTGTGATATTTTGTTCACGGAAAAGAAATGGCGGAAGAGAAAGGAGAAGCACCAGTTGCATCACCTGCCGCAGCAGCAGCTGAAATCCCACCACCGCCACTACCACTACCTCCCTACGATGACGTAAATGCCAAGTGGGATGTGTGTATGGACTTGAGCATTCGCCGGATTTTCTATTCTACCGCTGTTGGCGCTTTTGCTGGGCTTTTCCTATTTCGTAATCCCTCTTAAACACTCCTCCTTTTTTCATTTAAAATTGTCATTTAATGTTTAAATTTCCTATGTTTTAGAAATAATTGCTGTTCTGGGCTTCGTGGATGGAATTATGAGGATAAGTCTATAATGGGTTGGAGGGCTTTGATTGGTTCTTTCTAGTTTTGTTTTGGTAATCTGGGATCAGTTGCAATAGTATTTTTGGGATTTTCTCTCTTTTTTTTTGGAGTTGGTATTTTTGTGTAATGATGATTTAAGGGCTTTTCTTTTATGAGTTATAAATGGGAAAAAAATGATGGATGGTAAGAGAATCTGTAATATAATGATGAAGGTGTTTTGATTTTGTTGCTGCATGATTTTAAGTCACGATTCAATATTCTGATGGGATACTAATGGAATGGGATATTTGGAGTGCTATTTAGTTATTGGGATTTGGATGGAAGTAGGTTTTGTATCGCGTATTTTCATGTAATAAGTTAATGAGTGGTTAGGTATTTATGTTATGATTGGAAGGAGATTGAAGTGCAGTATCCAGATACTGTTGTTCTATGGTGGAAGAATGTTGCAGTTTACTCAAGAATTTAGATATCTTAAGGTGGAGATTTTATGAGTGTAGAAACATTTTCCTTTACAGCAATTGAGGTAATGAAAGATGTGCAGTTTTATCAGTTTAGGTATTCTAAGAGATGTTGGTGTAATAAGTGGTGCATGAGATATACTGAGTTTGTCTTTTGGGAAAGTATTGTAAGCTTACCACAGCAAGTAAAATGTGTAGGGGAGATAGTAGCACGTTTAAGACCTTTGAATGAGGATGTAAAACACTTAGTGAAAAAACTATAGATACAGAGATGTGACATGTAACCATGCTTTCTTTTTCTTCCTTTTATGACGAGGTTTTGCACCATACACTGATTTCGAGTCCACATGGCTATGTTTCTGATAAAGGTGGAGCAAATTTTGTGGTGGGGGGGGGGGGGCTAGGGGGATAGCTGTCCCCCCAAGTTTTGGGACTTTTTCTTTTAGTCACTAGGAAATTTTGAAAATTTTCATTCAATTCTTTCTCTCACCTCCCTTCCTCTAGCAGCTGGCCGCCCCAACCAAGATTTTGACAAAATTTCATTGCCCCCTCTCCTAGCTTTTGCTTTATGTAAAATTTGAACTGATACTCCTCTTTCAATGTTTTTGACCTTTGCTATTTAGTTAATTGATCTATAAAATTCATTTTGTTATTAGCTGCTTTAGCATTACATATTAACTTGTTAGAACTTTATCTATTATGTCAAGAAATATTTGTTTAAAGCTAGAACTGGGCACACCTTTCGATTACTTATCTGGTTTAAATTTTCATTTTTGATCTGTCTAATTTCAAATTTACGTGCTTGGGTCTGCATGCGTGTGATCTTTTTATATTTATATTTGCAGCTAATAAAATTGTATATTCTCAAAAATTCTCCCCATAAACGTATACAACTAAGTTTCACATTTAATTAGAAATTCTATTTGTGCACTTCCTTTTTGCATTCTAAGATATAATTGTCACTCACGTTTTGGCACTGGAGAATGGTCAAGTTGTGTTTTTCCCCTTAGGATGTTAAGGATGAAAAGACTGAGTATTTATATTAATAAATGTATCCATGCACATTTGTGTTTACTAATGAATAGATACCATTGCTATTATGTTTAATACACTTAACTTTATTGTTGTTATGTTAAAATAATGTTAATGATAAAAAAGAAGTTGTTGACATTTGATTATTCATTTTTTTACTTTGAGATGCAATTAGACATCAAGATTGGATAATTTAAAGGACAGAAAGAAAAAACATGCTAGCCATAATTCTGAAGTTATACTTGTAAAATGATAATTATCTATACATATAGCCCCTGGCTAACCACAGATTCTGGGCCTGCCACTGGTTTCTGAGATGAGTTGCAATGGCATTAAAAGTTTTTAGTTGTCTTGAGAACAGCTTTAAGGTGGTATTTTGGTCATAAGTTGTAAATGACGTGTTTCTTTCTACCAATTGGACTATGAGACAACTTCTGTCATTATGATGTTAATTCTTTTGTTAAATTACACGATTTCCACTTCAAGTCTGGGAATTAGTAGAACCAGGGTTGTCTTATCTTCTGGCCATTATAAATGAAGGGGACCACTAAAAGCAAATGGTTTTTGTAGAAGTATAGAGGATATGATGCAGCATGTGAGAAACCTTTGAAATGCTAATTTCTGTTTTCTGCAACACTGAATGAAGATATGACATAAATATCACATCATTCTGAAAATTGTTGGTATTAGCTGTGAGAAGCTTTACTTATTCTAGGTCTTTTTTAGCATCTATAGTTCTTCATTCTAATTGGTGCATTGTCAATTTTGCGGTAGTAAGTGTTTACTTTGTTGAAGTGGCTGTCGGCATCATCATTTGAGTAGCTTAGGTAGCATTTCTTCTTCATTTCAGCAGGGAAGAGACAAATAGGACTTTTTAGTTTATTTGCAGTGACTACACCTGTTGTTGTTGTTGTTGTTGTTGTTTTTTATTTATTTTTTTATGCCAATCCTGCTACTTTTGTTACTGGTCAATTTATAATGAAATACTTCTCTTTACTTATTTATGTAATATGTTGACAGAAGTTATAAAGTTCATATTGCTGAGATTCTCTTTTTTATAGGAAAATAATTACATTGATTTGTTGATTTATAGTAAATCTTTTTGTTCACTTATGTTTTATTTTTACTTCTTGATGAATTATTGGTACCAGGGAGTCCTGTTACAAGATGGACTTCTGTAGGATTGGCTACTGGCATTGGTATCGGAACTGCTTTCACAGAGTGCTCTTACATATTTGGGCGATCTCCAGCAAAATTGACCCCTAAAATTTCTAAGGCACCTTTGTCAAAGGTATGACTCAGTGACTCGCATCATAATCTATTTAATTTAACTTAATAAGAAAGTTTACCTGTCAATACAAATTAAATGGGGATATAATAATTGAGAAATTGGTTTATACTGATTAGTGTTCTTGCATCTTTTGAACTCCATTCAATTTTCATGAAAACCACAGTATAGGGAAGGCTTTTGAGCTAAAATTTAGATGGTAAATAATGTTGCACCTAAAGCATACCAATACTTCACTGGTGGTTTTGATCCCTCTCCTTTGATAAACTTAAGGATATCTACTTATGGAACACATGGTAGCTTTTCATTGGTATAGCAAGATATAACCCCAAATATGAAAGCTAAAGGGATCTACTATCCGAGAGTTTTCCTTTTATCGGCATCAATTGCATTTTTTGAGTTCAGTGATCATGATTTTGCACTGAAACGATTACTATATTCCATTAATTCACCAAGAAATAGACCGGTAATTGCTTCTTGTTAAAAACTAGATTTTTAGGGACAAGAAACCTCAATAAGAATACTAGATTTTTAAACCGGATTCTCATTATGGTTTAGTGATCTAAGCTAGCCGAGAAAGAAATTCTTAAATAGTTGGTTACTGTATTTTTTTTCTTTTTGCATGTCAATTAGTCGTTACTGTGCATATTTATTGCTTTGGCCATGATTCTACTTTTCTCCTGAGGCATATAAAGGTGGATAGGCTTATTGCTCTTGAGCCCATTTTTTATTTGCTTTCTTTATTAAAGTTACAACTGAGTTTGAGTCTGAAATCTGTGCCTTTATTCTTAGGTAGTCAGACAAACTGCTGGTTAATTTAGAACTTTTACTTAAAAACCAAGTTTTTTCCCTAAAGAGTTAGCTTGGATGTGCTACCAAACGAAGAGTAGAGGGTTGTTTATTATGGGTGTATATTTGGGCCTGAAGAAGAAAATTTTGAATGCTGTCCTTTAATTATTTAAGCCTTTCATAGTTCTTTCCTGGATGGCATAGACTTGAACCCTTTTTGTGCCATGATTGAGTGCTTCATGGTGACACAATACATTCACATTCAGAGATACTGTCACGTGCCTTATTTTGTAACTTATATGATCTTGAGCTCTTGGGTCTGGAGTAAGAATTTGATGCTTGTTATTCTCCTGTTGCGTGTTCTGATGATAATCTATTGAATTAAACTATGGTTCATTTTTGGCTCAGGCACCATGTGATAGCTAGTATGTAATGGTCTAGTTTTATTTCCTGGGGCACTTATCTAATTTGTATGATTCCTGAACGTTTCACTATTCCATGTACAGCTAATCTGGAAGCATATGTGTGGCTTTTTTTTGAGCTTTTCCTGTCCTACGTTTCTATTTTATCTCGTCATGTTGAATTAAATATTGTAAGCATTTCAAATTGCTCGTACTCAATAACCAACTAGTGTCACCATTTTTATGTTGCTATATGTTTGGACATCACTGGTTAGATTTCTAAAACTCTAGAGACTCCAAGAACCAAAGCATTACAAGAATTAAGCCCTATGATGGTGTAACATACCATTGCAAAAACTAGCTGCTAGTTCACAAGTAAAGTGACTTATCAGATCAAATCAGTGGCTGCTAAATGGCTGACATTGACAGTTGTTGCCAGTAATGCTTTGTTTTGGTGCTCAAAATGAGCAAAGTGAAGTAAAAAAACTGGCTGCTTGAGCTACTTGATAAGGTTGCTGAGTCGTACAAGATTAGTGGATTGAACTCCTATCAACAATCATGAGTTGACGAGTTCACTTCAAGAATAAATCAGTCTGTTTATTCTCTTGCAGCTTGCACATGATTCTTCATAATTTGCTTGGAAACAGATGCTGTGTTTCTTGCTTCTCCCTATTATTGTGTCTTAGTTAAGGGTCCTTTTATTTACAATATCGAAAAAAATTTGAGGATTCTGTAAAGCAAATGGTTAGATAACTTTCCTTGTTAAGGAATTAATTATTACCTCAGGAAAGTAGAGTCTACAATTTCTATTAGGAGACTTAGTACCCTAATGGGGTGAGAAATAAGATGAAAGGCTGTGAAGATTCAGCAAGTCAAAAGGATATAGTTGCCTGGATAAATTCAGGAGATGAAGGAATATACTGCTTCCTAAATGAAGATTTACTGCAAACCGATTTGACCTTCAGATATATAGATAATGCAATATTTTGTTATATTGAGCTCATTTTGAAAATGCTTCAGATGTTGTACACGATTTTGGACCTGTATATAATAATGTCTCCCGTTTTTGATACCGTGCAATGATCTGTACCTATAGTTTACAAATGGTAAATATGTGGTGATGTGAAAAACACGTCACATGAGTACATGTGATGTTTAGAGTCTTGGGTTCATCCTCATGAGTACCTCATGTATGTACATATATGTGAATACATGATCAAGTCACTCTCATAATTGGAAGTTCTTTCATTTATAACCAGATCCGCTACTTGCGGTGTAGTTTTCTGGAGTACTTTGTAACTAAATGATCACATACTTCTTTGCTTGTTTGAGGAAGATGAAAGGCTATTCTATTTTCATGTATGGATATCCTTCTTTATTTCTCACTTAATGGTTCCCCCTTTCTCCCCTACATTTGTTTTTTTTTTTTGGGGGGGGGGGGGGGAGGGACTGTGTGAAAGAAAGGGAAGGGAGGGCTGCCATAGTGAATCATTTTTCTTTAAATAGAGATATCGCTTCCTGTATGACACTTCTGAGATAAATGTGCTCTGCAAGTTCTTTTATGTTCCTTTCTCTCCGGTGCTTCGCTGCATTAGAATGTACTACAGCTCTGGAAGAGAACCGTTTTGATTTGTGTTTGTGTCTAATTGTTCTTGTGTTGCCTCACGTTGTGCTCTGTGGCTTCTCTACCCCTTGGTTTATTTAGTATTTCTAAAATTGTGATGAAATATGCTTTTGTGTGCTTTAGATTTACATAACAGACTAATTTACACCTGCCATCTATTTCAGGATGCGGAGCACTGAAGCAGAGCCTGAGATCTTTGGCTTCCAAAATTTCCAAATTAGTAAGCGTTTTCCTAATTGGACATCATTTTGCCTTGCCTTGAGCGGCTTTGCCTCTTGCGAGATTGTTTTACATGGTTGATTTTTCAGCATGATGTATGGAAAATTTTCTTGTGAACTCCAGTGCACTCTGTTCTGTAACTTGAATACCAGGCTAATAGGGAAGAAAAGGGATAAGCTAATAATTACTTTTGTCTTGGCATGCTATGTATTGAGGCTATTTACTTCTATTCAATGGGCTTTTTAAGGTACCAAACAAGTGTGTTCTCGAAACATATTTTAGCCTTCCAAGTATCTCATTCTTCTTTTTTGGCATGGCAAAGCTTCCATTTGGCTGAGGTTGCCTTGAGTAGTAGCTTCATATAGCTACTGATTTGGATACTTGCCCACGATATATCTGCCTCTGTCATGATCGGCCTGAAACCTAGATTCTTTACGAGTGTTTTAGTGGAGAAGGTAAAGTAGGGGGACAAGCCTGGTGGGTTGGACATTTGTACTCATTAACTTGTCCGCCATCTGAATGAGGTTATCCCTTTTGGACTTGGTTTGTACATCGAAGATAAACTTCCTCACCTTAGTTGCTTCAAATTTGGTAAGGCATAATTGTGGTAATGACAGATAGGGTGAATCATGTTGACCCTTCCAGGGCTCTGTCAATATATACATGTTGGCTAAATTCTGATTTCAGAAATATATGTTAATAACTACTGTATTCTGCTAAGTATCACACAGACTGGTGCAGAGTTGAACAAGTACATGTAATCGGTTGGTTGCAACAGAGACGAAGCAAAAAAACTGTCCGAAGCATGGTTTCATAAAAAAAAAAAAAAAAAAAAAAAAAAAATCAACATTTCTAAGAATCCTGGCCAAGAACTAATACTGCAAGAAGAAGAAAAACTAACGGTGATATATTAATTCATATCATGAAGGGGTTATATATAAGTTTTTAAACAATAGTGGGGGTTATGTGATAAAATATAAAATTACGGAAGGTAAAACATAATTTATCATAAAATGTGAAAGGAAAAGACAAATTGTCACTATAATGACGCGACGATAAAGTTTCTTGAATTGTCAAGTGCATCAATTCTTGAGCCGCAATATACCATGCATTTGTTGCCATCACAGTTTTAGACTTGAGAGAGTTCTTTGAAGAATATATTGTGTGCCCCATAAATATATGATGGTAGTGGTCAACCCGCCAAAATGGAAAATCGGTGCTGTGCCCATCAAGTGCAATTTTTCCAACCCAACCTTGAGGCAGGAAATTAAGCAAGTTAGCGGTTGGGAGAGGGAAATTCCATTAGGGAACACAATGACAACCACTTCGCATTGGCAGGAGCGTAGCGATCACAACCAAGTGTCAGACAGTAATTAGCAGAATGTGTCGTACGTACACGCTTTACACGCATGCTTTCTTTGTGTCATTATGTCCGCTTTGAACAATGCAGATGCGTTTACACAGGTAAGCGTGGTATCCTTGTGAGGTGTTTATTGCGTACAAGGAAGATGCAAACTCGGGGGAGCGGTACGAGGGGAAGGAGTGTAAACGTAAGGTTTCGGATTCGAGTCCTCTTGTTTATATTTAAAAAAAAAAAAAAAAGAAAGATGCAAACTCTAGATGAGGAAATTTGCCTAAAAATGATGTATGGGTGGTCATATTTATTGCAGACATTGCTGCTATTGCCCACAATATTTGAATAGCAAGGAATTATGCTATTTTCTTTGTCAAGAATAGTAGTTCAGCTTATGCACTTGCCTTACCGACCAGATTGTGGAGGATATTTAAAAAAAAATTTTTTTTTTTTGGAGATAATCTGCTACAAAATTTTATTTATACTAACAAGTACATCATATCTGTCTTGCATTAGTACCTAATTGTTGTGCTACAATCTCTATACCCAACTTAACTGTTTGGGACAATAGTCATATGATAAAAAAGTATTGACTTTCTCAAGTTCTCTCTATAAGGTTTGGAGTCTCCTTTTGAACCAAAAAAAAAAAAACGTTGATGTGTTTACAGAGACTAATTGCCTATCAAACTTAGTTAGATGAAGAGATACAATGAATCTAGCCATACTAGATACTGATATCATGGATAATCCGCCTAACATGTTATGAAGCAGTAGCAGGATTTTGCCGTCATAATTGCAGTATTTGGCTACCAGATGGAGAGAAACTTTGGAACTCTCTGAGGAATGGAACTTTGGATTTGGCTATATTTCTTAGCTGTTGAGAGGATTTCTTTGGTTCCCATTAGAGTAGCAGTGCTGTACTATTGTGCTGGCCTTGTTTGGAGGGTTTTGTCTCCTCCTTGAGTATTATTCATTTGCATTCTGCCACCCAAATCATCAAGAGGGCTGTACTGTAGTATCGTATGCTATTAATTTGTAAAATTTTCCTTTCGTTTTTCTATTGAAAGGACTTTAGACACCTATATGAATCAAGGCAGTATTTTTTTTTTCTAAAGTTGCTAACCAAACTTCATTAAATTTCAATTGATCGATGAAATAAATCTACCACACACTGATGATATAAGAAGCTAAAATGCAAATATTTGCAGATTTGAGCTACGGCTTCAAGAGAGAATTTGGTTTGATACCATGACCAGATACTGTGAAAACTAAATGACACAAAACAAATGAACCAAGGACTAGTTGGAAAAAGATGTAGCATATGATTAATACACCAACTGTTACACGTATATATGGTACAATAAGTGCAAACAGGCGAAGGTCATACTATTAAACAACTAGGCAGGTTTGGAAGGGGAGGGAGTGTAAGCGAGAGATTCTGCAGTCGAGCCCTCCACCTACACTATTAAAAAGAACAGTCTAGTGAAGCGATGTACAAAATTGAAGGGCAATTATAACCTAAAATTTGCCATGCCATGCGTATCTAAGTCATTTTGATTAACTAATAAGAAGTAACCGTTGAGTGCACGAAAATAAATGTGGAGTGGCGAAATCAATAACTAGAAATAACCATGCACGTATATTTCTGCTGCTTAGAATTGAGATTTCAAGATTTTCTAGCTCTCCTTTCTTGCTTTAAACACGAAGAAACTGCTTTTCCTCCACTTCTTTTCTACCTCCATGTACAATTCTAAACTGAATTTTTAAGGAGCTTTGATCTTGATAAGATTTTGACGTTAGGGAAAAGAAAAAGAAGAAATACAAAAAAAGGACAGGTGATGGCAAAAGAATGGACTAAGTTGTCCTGGTTCTTCTAGTAATTAGTACATCTGTCTTCATCTAATTGAAGCTCAGAAATGCAACGAAATTGACTATGATGGTTGAAAAAAAAGGACTATTTATCCCCATATGAAACAATACGACGTCGAATAGCGTACTATAATAGGAGCATGAAGGAGATTTTTCGTATTTCAAATCACATTTTCTTTTTATTTATCGGGTGTGCCCAAGAAACACTTTTTGTTCAAATGGGTTTTGCAATCTGTCCCCTGTACTTTGTTCCTAAATTGTCAATTGAAATAGGAAAAAAAATTGGAATTTCAGTCTCTGATGTTTAGCACACGTGCAATTTTAATCCTTAAAGTTTTTGTAAAAACAAATTTGATTTCCAATGTTTTCCACCTGCACAGTTTTAGTCTCTAAAATTTTGGCAAAACAAATATGGATCCCAATTTATGGAAGTTAAAGCAAATTTAGGACAATTAAATTTTTTTTTCTTAATTACTGAGGGAATTTAGTCATGTACATTGTGCCCATTAAATTGAAATTAAAATAAAGAATGAAACTAGTGGCTTACTTAAAAGATAAAGTTAAGGACTAATAACTCACATGTGAGTAATTAATTAACCGATAAATAAAAAATTTGTTACACTACAAAGCAGAAACCAATCCAAGCACCTAGTTCATGGGTCCGTATCTAATTTTTACTCTCTATCCTCAATGATCCCAAGTAAAAATCCTAACCCTCAGTATTTTCGTATTAATTTTAACAAAATCTTTTTCTTGTTTTCTTGGTTCAATAGTTATTCACATGCCATCACGTGAATTATTCTCATTGTTTTAAAGTTAATCATTGTTTTATTTTATTTTTAGTAATTTAATTTAATAAACACGTGAATAAATGTGACTAGATTCCATCAATAATTGAGAAAATTTGCGAATTGTCTTAAATTTGCTTCAAATTAGAAATATCAGGGACTAGTTTTTTCTTTGACCAAAATTCTAGAGACTAAAATTGCATAGGTGCCAATCATTGGGGCCCGATTTGTTTTTGTGATATTTTAGGGATTAAAATTATACATGTACCAAATATTAGGGATCAAAACTACATTTCTTCCATTGAAGTATTATAGAGACTTAGATAGATTTCTCCCTAACCATCGCAATAACCTGATGATCCATCCAACAGGGCTGATCTTTTAGGTTAGGAGACAATAAACACCTTTGCTCAAATGAAGCACCCAAATCCCAAATTTCACCCTTCAACATGAATATGATTTTGTGTTAATTAAGTATTGATGTGTTTTCTCTCCATGAATATGATTTTGTTTTTTGTGTGTTCACTGAGAAATGATATTAATTTGAACAGAGAAAATAAATTGACAATTAGATGGATGGCGGCTCTTGTGAAAATGATGCAATTAGCTTATTTGTCATTATACTTCTGTAAGGCCAACTAACTTTTACCTTAACATCCAATTAAAGGTGAAATCGAGCCGAGTCTAACTCGAGTAGTGACGTACTTGAGCTCGAACTCAACACAAAAATAAATATTGAGATCAACTCGATGATAATCAAAGCAGACTCGAACTCGACTCAATCAAGTTTGATAAGCCATTTGAGCTCAATATCGAGTTGAGTACCGGAGCTCAAGTACCTGACAAAACAATCTTGCTGTCACTTGTTAGCTCGCCTCGTTCTTGCACAATTCCTAATAATCTAAAGAATCTACACTTTGTATCTGAAATGCAGCACTACTAATTTGTACTAAACAGTAAACTAAGTTGCACTAAATATTTGAATTAAAGTACATTAATATCAATTGAGCAAGATGAATTGCAATGCAAAGAAACAAGACTTAGAAGCCAATTAAAGTCTTGGAGCCAAGCAAATGGACAAGACTTAGAAGCATGCCATTGCTTCTTTGAACTTTGAAGGACAAGGACATCATGGCCATGATCAATAACCAGAAACAAACGCATGCAATACAGTGATAACCAATTTTTAGGCCTTCTCAACAGATTCCAACCAATAACCAGAAACCAAGTATGGCCATGATCAACATTCAAGCATTCTAGTTTCTAAATTCAGAAATTCAGCAAAAAAGAAACAAAACGGCAGACAGATTCCAAAAAAAAAAAAAAAAAACCACACTCATGTAGAAACTAAGTGGCCGTGATCCACATTAACATTTTCAGCAATATGCACAAGTAACAACCTATTCTCAACCTCATTAGAATTTCACAAAAATAGAAACAAGAGTGCAGCCAATTGAAAGGAAAAATTAAAGGAAATTTTCTTGAGTCTAATGAGCATTTAGAAACTCCTGTTTATAATCTGGTAAACCCAATAGCTTGTTTGCTCCTTATGCATCTTCAAATTTTGATGTACAGTCACTACAACAAAAATGATCTTTCCTGACATGCCTATAAGGACACTTGATGGTTTATGTCATTATAGCACTTCTATCATGACATTTGTTATCAACTCAATAATATATACTCTATTTTTTATTTTATTTTATTTGATATAAAAATAATAATGTGCTTTTAGACTACTTATCATGACACTTGAGAAAATGTGAGATACACCCAAATTAAAAAAAAAAAAAGAAAGACACTAAACTAAACGACATGGCTTGTTTTGGCGGAAGATTCATTTGCCATGAAATATTCAAAACTTTCAAATTGCCGGCCAAAAGATTTTGTCAAATTTTGCTTCATCTCATCTCTCTCGCAAGAAACACTCTCTCCTCAACAAATTATCCTCAGCAAATTATCTCTAGCCAAAACACTTGGAGTTTTTTCTGCTGAATCTCCCTGCAAACAAACTTTCCTTGCTTTCCCATTGAAGGTATGTAATTGCATGGTAAATTTTTTTTAATTTTTTGAGCAATTAGATAATGTTTTTGCTAAATGTCACCGTAAAGAAGCTGTCCATTCTTCAAGCTTTCCCATTACTGCTACCATTTATTTCGAGCCAAACAAACACAATCCAATTGCCAATTGCAAATTGCAGCAAATGAGAGGAAAAAAATGCTTCTGTACCTGCACTCGAGTACAACCCCCTTACTTATATGTTTGTGTACATGGCAGCCAATCACTATTTTGCATATGAGGTAATGTTTAAGCTTTTTTCTGGACATTATTAGCTATTTTTGAAGCTGTGTACTCTATTGTGTTGAATTATGAGGGTTAAGTTTCAAAGTTTGCCCTAAATTGATTACATTTGAGATTAGTCCCATCTGTTTGAGATTGAAACGGATATAGTAATAGTTTATGATTTGAGTGCACTTGTTGTTCAGCTTTGTTCCTCTCGATTGTCTACTTGATTCATGTGACTATTTTTGTTATGCACTTACTGCCCATAACCTGTTTGATAAAATGTGGCAACATAGCAAATGGACACTGTACTTGGTTGGCTTACTACTTAATATCTAGGTTATCTTGTGAGATTTTTGTTGACATATATATACACAGGTTTCCTTTACATATTACACATGTTATAGTCCATTGAAAATGAACATAGTGCCGGCAAATTGCTGACTAGCCATGGCTTTTTAGGTTGTCATTGATGATGCTTAAATTTGTGAATTTCTATGCAGCCAGAGAAGTCCTACTCAACACAGGAACTTTGCCATCTTCTAGGAACTGTAATTGTGAAGAAGGCATGGGTGCAATCTATATTGGGTGGGTCCTACTATCATAGGTATGGTAAATACTAGAAAATTTTTTATTGGGTGGGTCCTACTATCATAGGTATGGTAAATACTAGAAAATTTTTTATTACTTTCTATACGAAAGTCACATGTGCACACAGTGTGTAAACAAAACACAGTATGATGTTGAAGTTATTGATGCTGACCCTGTGAAAGTGGAGGAAATGGCAAAAAAAAAAGGCAATTTTTGATGAAGATGATGTCGACAAGTTGGAAGAAAGGCCTCTTGTTCTAACCATCATGGGACACATGGACCATGGGAAAGTAAGCAACAAAATTTTTTCTTGTAGTTGGTTTCAAGAAGCATTATGTGTGTCGCCAGTTAATGGATCTTTTTTGAAGTCATTATGATCTCATCCCATGAAATAATTTTACCTTTCTTTGTTATTTGATTGTTGCCTATGAACATTTTGTGTGCTTCCAGTTAATTGATCTTTAGGAGAGTCATTCTAGATTTATTGTCCCATAACAATCTTTAGCTAATATATTACTGGTTTTCTTTTGGGTTGGCAGACCACACTTTTGGATTACATCAGGAAAAGCAAGGTATGAATCGATTATTTTTATTGATGTTCACGTTGAGGTACATTTTTTGTAATGCCATTATGATTTGATGACTTTAGAAGAAGTACCTTATTCTGTCTTATGTTATGATACTTGAATAGCAGGGAACTAAATCTTAGACAACCTACTGAGTGTGTTTGGATAGTGGGTTATTTGAGATATTTTTACTGTAGTACTTTTTGTGATATGATATATGTGAGATAAAAAGGTAATTGGGAAGATAAAAAGCTGTATTGGAAATTGTAATGGTGATGTAAGCAAATATATTTGGGGAAATAACCCACTATCCAAACACACAAACTGTATGTGGCAGCATCTGAAGCAGGTGAAATTACTCAAAGCATAGGGCATACAAGGTACAAGTACCTTTTGATGGCAAGCCACAGACTTGTGTTTTCCTTGACACCCCTGGACATGAGGTAATTAATGATGTAGCACTGGTTCTAACTTTTAACTGCTTATTCATGCAAGTTTTTTTTTTTTTTTTTCTTTTTTAAAATTTTTATGTCAAATGCTCTTCTTGGAGATTTTGCAGACATATCTTAAAAGGCCTTTGTCAAGATGAATTATCTAACATAACTATACAAATGGTTGGATAGGCATTTGGAGCAATGAGAGCTCGTGGAGCCAGAGTAACAGACATTGCTGTTATTGCAGTTGCTACTGATGATGGAATTCGACCTCAAACAGAAGAGGCCATTGCTCATGCCACAGCAGCTAGAATGCCAATTGTTATTGCTATAAACAAAGTGCGCTTGCATTTATTCTGAGATTTTCCACTGTATGTTGGCTTGTATATCATTTAGTCTCATTTGCATTCTGCTTTTGATGTATGAAACATGATGACAAATCTCCTCTTGCTTATGGGAGTTGGCATTTTCAGTTCTCATAATCACAGTACTGCTCAAGTTTGATGTTTCTAGATTTTTACATCATAGCATATTATCTTATATGCATTCTGTTTTTTGGGATAATTTTAAAAGTCCTTTGAGTTTCTGATTAACGGAATGTAGAGCAGGAAGCACTACCTGTATGTTGCTTCTATTTAAAGAAAAAAAAAAAACTCCTGGCAATTAAAAGTGTCAGCATAGAATTCGATATTCTAATGTTGTACTATACCTATCCTAACACTTTCAATTATCAAGAAAAGAGATTTTTGTTGGTAGATGGGATGTTATAACAGCATAGTTTTCCTGACATGTTGAATAGTATGAGTCTATCCCCACATTGGAAGGGACAACACTCGCCCTAGGTGTGAGGATAGATAAAGTGAAGTGTCAGAGATTATCTATACTGACACTTTTTAAATGCCGTTTAAAGGCTATTTTTTTTGTAGTGAGTCTGCAACACCTAGCCAAACACAAATGACAAATCAACGAACTTATGTACAATTTAAAGTTAAAATTTGAACACAACTTAAAACAGATTAAGAACAAGAAAATCAGAATTCACAAAAAAGATGGACTTGATTTCCAGCAGCTTATTTGCTCCTTAGACAACTTTAAACATTGGGAAGCTCATATTTTTTGAGAGCTTTCTGTGGTTGCATTTAGGTGGTGGAAATGCAAATAAACCTAATTTATCTTACTAATAACAAATTTATATAGATATCATTTACTTTCAATTTCTTTTTGACTCCGTGTAAATTTTATATCAATCGCCGCCGCACACATTAACATTTGGACTGTCTCTGGAGCAAGTGAAGTGCAGTAGGAATCAATCACCCTAGTTTTGACACTAAAGGTGGCCTCAGATATGATGGTAGTGATAGGAATGGCCAATACATTAGCTGCTAGCTTAGAGAGTACCGGGTATGTTGACCAGTTAATTTTCCACCAATCTAAACAGTTGAAATCCTTTGAATTTTGCCCAGTAGACTAGCAAGGCTTGTCTAGGTAATCCACCAATCGCTCTTTTGGGCTCATTGGACTCGAGTTCAACACAATACTCATCCAAATCATCCCAATAGTCAACACTTGCTCAAGGTAGATACACTATTTCAGATGCAACATTTAATGAACAATCTATCCCCACACTTCCACTAGTAGCCATAACAATGTACTCATTATAAAGCTCAAAGATGGCTTTTCAAACGTTTGTGATATTCTCTTGAGATTCATATGCAGAATACATCTTAAGGAAGGCGACCTCTATTGCTTGCATTTTCTGTCTTAGATCCAAGATACCTGCAATGGATATCAATAAATTGAACTCTTTCTAGTATTTGTCAAACTTGAATTTCATTCTTGTAATCATATCCCAGATGAAATCATCTCTATTATCCACTTGTACATCGAAAAGTTTCTTCACCTTTAGAAACTTTAGGGAGGAATAGGTTGTTAGTTGGATACTCATTCCCCGAAATTATGTGCGTAGCTATGTAGAATTTGTCTAAAATGGTGCATACTTTCTCAACTTTCTCCCAATCTTCTGAAGATGGACAAATCTCATAAAGGTGCTCTCGAACTTGGAAATGAGGAAAAACCTCCTTATATTTTATAGCACAACTCAACATTTCATGTGTTAAATTTCACCTTGTCCTACAATCATGGAGTAATTTTTTCCTAGGAATTTGTAGGTGTTGAGCAATTTCTACAAATAGCAATGCCCTACCATCAGACTTGTTCACAAAATCCACATTGTCTTGGATATTTTTACAAATATCTACTATCTCTTCAGGCCATCTTGAACCATAAAGGTTCAAGACATGGGCGTAACAATGAACATGAAATGGCTTTCCTCCACTAAATAGCTTCTTGCATTTGCCGAAATTATCTTTCAACAATTTCACGGCCAATCATTGTTCGAGGCATTGTCAACGGAAATAATGTGAATTTTTCTCTCAATTCCCACTTCTTTGCATACTTGAAAACTGCATTCGAAATCTCAACTTCTTAACGAGGTAGTTGAATATGAACAAAATTTAACACCCTTTTCTAAAGCTTCTAATTTCCATCAATCCAATGCTTGGTAACTACCATGTATTCAATTTTTTTATTCTTTGATTTCCACATATCGGTTGTCAAGGTCGCTTTCTGTACATGCCTTCGCTAGTTCTTCAACTACTTTTTTTTATTTCATACACATATGTACAATCTTTTATAACTGTCATGCGTGAGATCTTCTACTACTCCAGCCACCCACGTTTCATCATTAGGTTGAAACCTTCTTCCTCCAAAATTGTGAAAGGGTGCTCGTGCATCAAGATCCAATGTGCAGCAGCATCTCTCATTACTTCCATATCGAATTTGCCCACGTGCAATGTTTGTACAGCTAGAAAACGCTCATCCGCCTTGAAAGTTTATCTTTATGCTACTCGCCTTCTTAAGCTTGGCTTTTCAAACGGAACAGTTTTCTCAACGCCTCCATATGCTGTTGGTTTGTTTAGTTTTGCCCCAATTTAGTTTCTAGCATATGGCATAATATATGCCATTGTCTTCCAAATCGTCGAAGTCGTCCCATGTGTCAGATGTTTTATTCCTTTTAGGTACTCGAAATTTACTATCATCTTTAGCTGCATCTTCTTGCTGCCTATTGGTGTCTTCGGTTCCTCCTTGTTGTGTTCACCATCCACAGGAGTAGGATCATAGGTGTTACGGCTTACAAATACTGGGCTGTCAATCATGACTAGTATGGATGAATCTGTCCCAAACACACATGGCATTGAAGAAACCTTGGAAGGACTAATAGACATACCTTAAAAAAATTCAGCTTATGAATCCCAATCTAATTATGAATGCTGAAATAAAATGCTGTGGGAAAATTATTAAGTAAAAATTAGGTTTTATAAACTAAACATGTTTTAAATGCTTTATTTTTAGATAGTATTCTGCCTGGTTTAGGAAGTACTAAAGTAAGGAAATGCAAGTTTTCTATTTTCATCATGATAGCAGCTTATGTACGGGCTTATACTAATTTCCATGCTCAAAATATCTTTATTCAACAGGTTTCTCGGCTGATTGCTGATCAAAAGCTCCACCAAAATTAGGAACCCAAGCTCGGAACTTGAGCTTTCTTCCTATAATTACAACACAGGTCGACTATAAACAAACACGAACTAAAGCTATCCTTCCCTATAAAAGCAACTCTGTTTTCTGTTAATTATCACAAAAACCATGTGCAACTTGTCTTAGTTGTACAACCACGACCCAAAAGGTACATAAATAGGACAACATCTAATTATACTAGCTTGTTAACACTTAATATTGCAATTCAGATGTATAGGCAAATTCTGAAATCATGCACTTTCACATCAAAGAAAAACCCACAAGCATGTTTAGAGCCAATGTCAAGAAACTTACCAATTCTCGAACTGTGCACAACTACCGAATCGCTTGTTGAAGGAATTGAGCTGCCTCCATTTCTTCAAAGTTCAGTGCAGCAATAGAGAGGGAATGGGATATGCAAATGGAATCATTGAATTGCAGCCCCTAATTTTTTTGTTAGGGTTTCGGATTAAAAATTAATATCAAATTTATCAAATTTAACCTCATAATTCAAATATTTACTACACAAATGCATAATAAATACCTCAATTTGTCTAATGCAGCTGCTGAAATTGGAGGGTTTTGATTTGATTTCAAACCCTTGCTCAAAGTCGG